ATTAAAGACTACTGACATATTGATTGAATCAAGTTTCACTTGTTTTCGTAGTCTCGTAACAATATTCTGCAAATTTTTTTTAGTTACTTCTTCTTTATCATTCGAATTACTTATTTAATTGTTTCATTTTCTCAGTGTTAAAAATTTCTAAAAATTAAGTTCCCTATAATAACAATATTTTTCGTAATAAGCTATTTCTCCTTCTTCATATTTATGACCCAACTTTAAGCACTTATTCTGTGATGTTTCCACAAATAAATTCACTCATTTTTTTTTTTTTATAATTTCCGCTACAATCTGTTGATACATACATGTAATACTTGCATGTGATTTTACATTCTTTTTTAATGACGAACTGTTAGCTCACTTTTTCAGGAAAACATAAAGGTTTTCATTTATGTGTGTGTGTGTGGTGGGGGGGGAGGTCATACAATTATTTTCTCTTTTGAGTATTTCAAAATATTTCAACACATGTATACTGGATTTTTCTTTCATTATGAATGATAAGAATGGACATCCCGGCATCGAGTTATTTTTCAATATGCTTTCTTACTATTCTATCCGCTTCAAGACCTTGCATTTTACAAAATTCATATAAAACTTAAAAATTTATCTCTGCAATCAACAATCTAAACTGCTTTTATTTGCACAGACACATTCCTTAGTTTTATGAAAAATAATAAAATTTAAATGATTGAAAAAAAATATTAAAATAATTTTCGGTACTTTTCCGTTTTACCGGCGCAAGCGATAAAGTCGCTAATAATGGTGCAACCGATGCCAAACGGAATATTCTCGCTGGTAACCTTTTACGCCTCATTTTCAAAACAAGTCGCAGCAGCTTTTTCTTATCAGATTGTTTCTTTCAATACTGACATATAATTACATAGAATTTTTATCAGATAGTTCAGTTTTATGTCCAAGGCCATTTTCGGTAATTAAGTCAATTAGGATGCAAACACAGCGCTTACCCGAAGCCGAAAATATAGAAAAGGTAATGTCAAGAGTTAAATTCATCAATTCTAATGAGAATGCATTAGCGAAGTAAAGTACTGCAGTTTTACATAATTTCTGAGTAAGCTATTCGTACGAATTGAAATATTTCTTGCATTTAAACTTGTGTTCCAAATTAAGATTTAACTTGAAATTAATGTAGATATTACTGAGAGCATTAGATTTTTGTAGAGAGTAGTTTACGTGAGATGAGATCGCTTGGGGTCACGTGATATGAACCGGCGAATCAGGATGCTGAACCATGAAAGCGTAGTAAATTCTTAAATTAATGTCTTTTTACAAATTTATTGTCTTTATTTATCGGTTTTTATAAAATTTTAAGCGATATTAAAATGTTTATGCCTTTAAAAAAAGAATTCTTAAAACTAACATATTTTTAAATATTTTTTATGTGTATACTGTATGTTGACGCCAATAAAGTCTGCTTGGCGAGATTTGCGCCGGCGAAACGGAAAAGTACCTAATTTTCTTTTTCCAGTTTGGAAAAATTATACAAATCAATCGCTAATGCTAATAATTGTATATGCTGTGAAATACTGAAGCACCGACTTCTCTAGCGTTATGTGATAAAAATAAAATTCATAATGCATGTTAAGCAATCAAGCTGCGTAATACTTTTGGACACAGATAAAAACATTAAATCACGTTCATTTACTGTTTAACGTATATGAACGTGTGTGTGTGTGTATGATTATGGCAAAGCCTCGAGGGCTATCTGCCTAAGGGGAGGGATGCCTTCGTGGAAGACTTTCTAAGGGAAACTGGCTCGTATACACGTTACACATGGGGAAAACCACGAAAACGCCCATGCAGCCAGCCCGTTCGCGGGATTCGAACCTCGGACCGAACTACCAGTGTTCAGCGACTTTACCGCTCGGCCGCTGGTGGGCCGTATATGAACGAAAATGTGAAAAATTATTTTAATCTTCACTTATGATAACCAAAAGTTTACTAATTAACTGGTTATGGTAAAATATACGAGACTATTCTTGTTGGGAGAAGATCGGCTTTCATAGAAAATAGATATAAGTAAGATTAATCTAAGTTAAGAACGAAGACGAGGAAGGCGATCTTTTTCTCTCCAGAAAAAAAACTCAAACCTTACTGAGCAGGTATGTGTAATTTCAATTAGATTCATTCTACTGATTTCTGAATAATTAAACCGTGAATAATTATTAATAGGATATCAACGACATATTTCAACCATCATAATCAACTACCAGGGTATAAAATATTTTTAAGACATTAACTCGAAAGTGAAAATTATACTTTTAACAGAATATTTAAGAATTTTTCAACATAAGGTATCTTACTATAGGCGTATTGGTGTCATTTAATAATTAAATAACTATTTAAGAAGATAGTTGACAATGACGCATCAGTGACATATTTTGTATCCATCTAATCCAATTACCAACATAAATAAAATTATGATATCATATTTTGTATCACCATACTGTAAATATTTTGTGTCCATTTAATCTAGATGCGAATATAAATAAAATTATATCATATTTACTATCAACATAACGTAAACCGTGCAGTAATTTAAAAAGTACGTTTCCTTTTGAGAAATCTAACTGGCGATTGATGGATAACGAATTTGCAATATCGTGACTTACTGAAAACATTCCAGCTGCACAATAATTAACTGATAATTAAAACATGTCGATAGTCTATCTCATAACATCAAAGCGGCTTACCATGGCGCTTTCACGCCATTATTAACTTTATATTAAATTTTTAATATATGAAATTAAATTCAGTTGTAAACGATAAATTGTCGCGTAAATTCCTAAGTTTATATATTTTCATATAATTAATTTTTTAAATTCCAATCTTGAATTTTGTATCTAGAATTGAACTAAATAAGCAAATTAAAAAATATAATTTTTTTAACTGAAAAAGAATATCATTCTCCCGTTTATATAAAGAGAACTGCTTTATGTGTTTGTAATTATACATACATACACACACCATCAGGAAAATACAAATTGGAAAAGAAATGCGCCGGCGTAAAATTCAAAATTAAGTGAAGGAACTCATTAATAACTGCAACCTAATAATGTACATGAAATTATCCTTATGAATGAAATTATCCTAGATGAATTACTTGAAAGAAGCATTTTAAAAATATTAAAGAGGCACTATATTAAAAAGCATTTAAAAGTCTGTCATCGATATGATAAATAAAATGCTGCTTGCCTAAAAACGCATATACGTGCTTCAAAATATAAGTACCACAATTTTATAGCTTTAATGAGGTTTATAAAAGAATTCCAAAGTTATTAATTCAAGAGGAAATAAAACAATATTTTGACTCCTTTCCGCTTTGCATATCCAAAACGTAACAAACTGAACGAAGAAGCAGAAAGAAATTTTATGGCTACATTGAGTTTAATATTTTCATCAGACTAACAGATACTTATTTATAAAATTTTCATGCAATAAAATGAAGGTCAAATAAATTATCCATTCCTCTCCACCTCCGAAGAAAATAATCTAAAACTCAAACAAAACGCAATTACACAAATGAAACAGCATTCATTGTCTACATCATAATAAGTCACATAGTGTATAATAATTAAATAGAAGGTAATGATGAAGTTTATTATCAATAATTTGTTTCGTTTCATTTCTACCTCCTCTCCAGCAAGATAGTGATAATAATAAAAAATTTATTTTTATCAATATGTTTCATTTCATATGTTAACACTATGACGGTAAACATATTTTCACTGATAAAACAATTTTTTAAATGCTAAAATGCACTTGTAGTGCTAAATTAAAAAAACAAAAAAAGAATTTCGAAGTTCATAAATATTTCGGGTTATCGCGAAATGGGTGTAATATGCGGCTGTAACTTTTATGAGAAACATCAAAAACTCGTAATGTTGTGACATAAAAGTTGCAAGTTAGTAATAGCAATGAAGACATTGTTTTTTGTTCAAAATCTGATTTTATCAACAAATCGTAAAAAACAAAATCTGTTGAGGTTCTTAAGAGTGCTACCTAAATAAATATTGCTACATTTGCACATAAAGCACACATTTCTTTCTCTTATTAATATTTAAACAGAATAAAACACAAACAAATTAAGAGTTTAATTTCGACAGTGACAAAAACTAAATAACTGGAGAAGAGCAGAAAGAGACCGCAGAAGTACAGCTGTACTGCTTTGACGCTTCACGAATACTAGTAATCAAGGGGTAAATTGAAAAATTTGTGTTTTAATCTCTTTCCTTTTTAAGTACACAATAAAGCATAAGTTAGAATCAAAGAAACAAATGCACTCAAAAGTTAAGGATACATATAATCGGAGCATTTTAGTTAGCTTTTCAGAGACTACGCCAAAATTAATGTTTATGACAAATATTTAAATTAAGGAAAAAGCATAACCTACATAAATTTAACGACTTCATAAATGTTTCGTCTTTTAATAAACAGTGAAAATCTAGACACCAATATTTTAAAATTCTTAATACCAAAATAAAAAATATAATTTTTTTAATTGAAAAAGAATATCATTCTTCCGTTTATATAAACAGAACTGCTTTATGTGTTTGTAATTATACATACATACACACACGCATACATAAAAGATATCGCATAATAAATAATATTCAAATCAGTTAATCGTTAAAGTCTCAGTATCAGCGTCCCATAATAAAACACTCTGAAAAGAAATCTTTTAAGATAAAAAGTGATAAAAACAAACCAGAAAGACTATTTCCAACTCTCCCCATTCCAAAAAAAAAAAAAAAAAAAAAAAAAAAGGCTTAAGCAAATTTACTACAGCTTTCCAAAATTAAACATCAACCATCGCTCAGTAAAAAATTTCAACTATTTTTGCACGCTGAAAATGAAATTTGACTTACCTTGAGCATCCACGCTGTGGGAGGAAAAAAAAAAAAAAAAAAAAAAAAAAAAAAAGACGACCCGCTGAGACAGCTTAGAAAACAAACAGCAATAAAAACAAACAGCGATTTACGAAACTTCGTTTTTACTTCAAGCACAATAATGCCCAAAAAAAAAAGCGAATATACAGCGAACAGATGAACGCAATTCATTGGAATAGCGAACGGAAAAAAGTTATGATACTAATCGATATGTTATTATCGCGGAAAATGGTAAAATAACAATGATAAATACAAAGCGCATGTTTGGACGAAGACATTGTCACGCTTTTCTTGGCAAGCGCCTACGAAGCTTTTCGTTTTCCCTCCATAACCTATCATTCTCTTGTGCCAGTTTTTCGATTTCTTCGCGAAACACTCTAATTTTTTCTAGTTCAGCTTCAACATTCAAATCACATGGTCGAACATCCCCTTCCTTAGACTTCTTTTTCAACTTTGCTTGTTCTAGAGACTTTTCTAATATTTCCACTTTATCTTCCATACTAATTAATTCTTGCACAAGTTCAGAATTTGACATGTTATTAAGATGTTCTATATGTATATCCTCATAAGTTTCCACAAACTGCTGCTGTAAGAACTCTTCTTCATCTTCTGGAGAACTATAAAATTCATCCGAAGAGTCGAAACTGTTGCTGTTCTCTCTGTGTCTGTGTCCGTTAGGAATGTGCGCATAATCAGGTTCCTGCAAGTTATGATCCTCCATCAAGAACTGAGTTGTATTATATGGAGCAAGAGTTAACCCAAATGCTGACATCTCTTCACGCATTCGGTTAGCCCTCCTGGAATCTCTCTCTTCCAACTGCCTCCTTTCATCCCAAGTACGTTTGCTATAAGGTTTCCATTTCAGCCTTTTACGATTTTTATTTTTTCTTTTTCGAACTTCTGAGTGATGTTCGGAGCTATTTTCAACTAATTTATTAGTTTCTAATTTCGAATTAAAATTCGCATTGACCACTTTCTTATTTTTCCTGCTGAGAAGCCCACTTCCAGAAAGCTTGTCAGGATTGGCAAGCTGTGCAACCACTGGCTCTGGAGAGTCTTCCGGAACACTGCATTTAAGTTTCTCCTGCGGCAACATGACGTCGACTTCAGTCATCCCGAGAAAGTCCAAACGCTCGACCACCGTGAAATAGTTTCGCACGCTCAAGTTCGCTAACTTTCTGACGGTCAGACGACTACTGGTAGGAAGAGAAACTGGTTACTGTGTATATGGAGTGCAATTGCATTTAAAGTGAATCCGCAATGTAATATAGTTCCTTTATTTTCTATATTAATAAACTGCTGTTCATGCCAAATATACGGTTAAAGTACTTATGACACTGTTTGTAACAATTCTAGAAACTTTAAATATGTTTTAATTATAGTTGAAAAAATATAACTTTTTAAGACTCGCGTAAGAATACTTAGCGAGCGAGCCCGTACTCGATAAATCTGTAGGTCATCTTCCTTAAATGGAGGCGCCATCTACCGATAAGACTTCGGAATAATATCATGATCAATATAAGTGATTGATCAGAAAAGTGTCCTGTAAATAATTAAACTTCATTAACTTGATTTAAATAAATTAAGCAAAATGTTGTTAACTTGTAGAAAAAAATTTTCACACATATGAGTGCTTCCTTCATGTACGAAATTTTATTTCCGCATACTGAAACTGTACGTATATGTATACAGTTTAAACAAATAACAAACTTTTTAATTATATGATTTTGAGTCGTGTAATTTAGAGTAAGAATTTAAGTTGTATACTTTAACATCTTTTCTAATGAAACAGAAAGTAATGATTATAACGTTTATTAAAAGCTATAATTAAGAAATATTAATATATTTAGAATGTGTACGCTCAAAAGAAATATAAACTTCTCTCATTTATTTCACAATTAATTAAAATTACCGACAAAAAAAAAATACTTTTTACCAGTGCTTGATCAAACAAGTCTACAACTCTAAACATAGTGCTAATATGGGGCCTAAATCCAGGCCTTGTGAAATTTAAGCCACAGTCTGGCAATGCTTTTTGTTGAAAAAAAAAAAAAAAAAAGTTAACTGAATATAATTTTAAATATTAAATTTTTAGACGCATTTTTATGGAGGTATTTTTTAGAGTTACCGAGTCAATTCCTTTAAGTTTAACACTAGCAGTGATTTGTGTCTCGCACTGCTGTGTAAAAGCAAAAATGTAGTATGCTTTGATATTTTGGATAAAAGCAAGCTAATCTCTAATCTGTATGTTAAAATGAGGACGCGTGTGCTCATGTCTGTAATAGTAAAAAAGTGCTCCTGAAAAATGCCTTTATATGTATGTATACACATGTAAAAACTCCAATGAAATTCTAAGTTGTCATTAAATGTCGGTTGAAAACGACTGTTACCATAAAACATTTGTTTGATTTTTAGCAAATTTTTACGATTTGTGGTAAAATTTTATTAAAGTTTTTAATATTCTACATAATGAAGGCGACTCATCAGTTTTTAAGTAATTAAACATTGATAGCCATTTAAGTAATTAAACTTACTTCATTTCATAGGCAATCTGCCTGAAGGGGAAATTTCATAGTTTATGCCCAGTAAAAGTTTGCTTAATCGATTACGGCATATTTCTTCCTATGGAGGTGATAACTACCTGCAAGAGAGGAACTAACTTCGTGGAAAATTTCCTATCTCGTATTCACGTTATAAATGCGAAAATTCACGAAAGCCTACTCGCTCAGCACGTTCGGCGGAATTCGAGCCCAGCTCAAAGTAGCAGTGTCAGCATTCTTAACCATTCGATCCCAGACCTACTCACCACGAAAGATATTTCATTTTATGACAGGTAACATTTCCGCGCTTCACCAAATAAAAATATTTTATAACTTTATATATATATATATATAATTTATAATATAAAAAGCTTTCCATATGCCATCTCCAAGGAACACAAATTCAATTTAAAACCCATGAATGAAAAAAAATTTTAATCAGAATTTAAATTAGTATATTAATTATATACTAATTAAAATTTTGACTAAAATTTTTTAATTATATACTAATTAAAATATTGACTAAAAATTTTAATTATATACTGTAAGGATCTTAAGTTTTACTAACGTTTATTTTATTTTAAATCTTTACTATCACTTCTTATTTTCTACTTCCGGCCAGAATTAAAAGCGTTAACTTATTTATGCAAAATTTGTCTGGCGAACGCCAAGTACTTAAGTTGTGGCTTTTTGCCAAGCGAGAGAGAGGAAGGAGTTAGACGAAGCAGGCCGCCCCCCATAGCACAAAACATCCTCAGGATGTCCTATTTAAGTCGCAATATCCCGGGACATACTTAGGATGTCCTAAGGATGTTGATTCTCAGATGTCCTGAGGAGATCGTAATTTAACATCCTGAGGATGTCTTATTTAAGTCGCTATGTCCCGGGATATAACAGGATGTCCTGAAGATGTTGATTCTCAGATGTCCTGAGGAGTTCACCAATTTCACATCCTGAGAACATTCATTCTGCATTGTCCGGAGGGACTTTCGTTGTCAAACATTTTGAGGATATTTGTTCTCAAAATTTACCAGTTTTAATTTTTTGACATTGCACATCTGAAACTTGCACATTATTTTATTTTTCATATGTATTTTACTAAGTTGTTTCTAAATGCTGTACATTAAAAATATTGATATGATTGATGATTTATTCTTGTTATTTTGTTATTAATTTAACTGCTATTTTTTCTGACGTTTTTAAAAATTTATTTAGTCATGGAAAAGATTTTTTTTCAATGGATTAGCATTTTCTAGAATATTTGCAAAATTCTAAATAACATATATTTTTTTTTATTAAAAAAATGTATAAATTACATGTATAATTACTTACAGATTACAAAACCCTACTACAAATATAGGTAAAATTAGATATATATATATTTAATTACGGAAACGAATTTTTTTTTTAAAATTTGGGTTATAGAGACATTAAGGTATTTTTTTGGAAGCAGGAGAAAACATGAAAAATTAGCAACTGCCTTCGCCGGGAATCGAAGGACGGACCTCTGGAATACCGGCCCAGTGTGCAGAACCACTACACCCACGAAGACACGCTAGGTGTGGTGGTGGTGTTGTATTTAATTATGGCAAAGCACACTAGGGCTATCTGCCTAAGGGGAAGGATGTCTTCGTGGAGGACTTTCTAAGGGAAACTGGCTCGTATACACGTTACACGTGGGGAAAACCACGAAAACGCCCTGCAGCCAGCCCGTTCGCGGGATTCGAACCTCGGATCGCACTACCAGGGTTCAGCGACTTTACCGCTCGGCCGCTGGTGGGCCGAAGACACGCTAGGAAAGCGGGAGAAATACCTTATATTACTTCTCTTTTTAAAGGCCGACTTTTTTTTAAGGGGATCCAATCACTAAATCCTGGGTGTGGATATACCTCATCCAACACCTTTTTAGTTCGGGCGCCACTGTAGAGACATTAGGATTTTTTTGGGGAAGCCGTAGAGATGAAAAATTAGCAACCGCCTTCGCCGTGAATCGAACCACGGACCTCTGAAATACCGGCCCAGCGTGCAGAACTATTACACCACGAAGGCACGCTAGGCAAGCGGGAGAAATACCTCATAAGGAAAATATTTTTCCTCTAATTACAGGACAGAAAAATGTTTTTCAATCGCGCGATCTGTTATTGATATTGAATTACAGTCGTGCGATAATTTCGCAGTAAAGATACATCTCTGATGACTATCCAAGATTCTAGAAACTTTGGTCTTATATAGAGATGATCGTCTTATAGAAATAATGCTTAATATCAATATTTATTTATAATCTCAGAACTATTGGTCACTTTCAGAAGTGGTCGTTTGAGAGGCGATATTCTATATATTTATTTACTGATACTCTCAGATTCCAAAATTTGTTTATATTCTCAGAAATATTGGACGGAAGGTGGTCGTCCCATACATGCAAAATTTTACATTTCATTAAAAATGAATTCGGCATTATTTAACTATTTCCCTATTAATTAATTAATTAGATAAAAAAAAATTAGGAAATAGTACTGTTTATTACGGAATAATGTAGGAAGTTCTGCAGAACTATATTCTTTCGCGTCATTGCACATTGTATCCGGCAAACTACTAGTTCCTCGTATTCTGCCGCAAATCCGTAAACATCTGTCTGATTTGAAACGAAATCCAAAATGGCTGCGCCATGAGGTTAACTTGTATGGATATTTTTTGTTGCATGAAAGGTAAGTTCAGTTTGCAATACTTGTATGTTTACTTTTTTTGCTTTTCGAATTTATGTCATTTATTTTGACAGTTAAATGTTTCACAGCTTAAATGTGTTAGCTATTACAGCTTTATGAATTGTTACCATTCTGTCGTGAATTACGTGTATCTCAATGGCTGGCTGTCTTTTCAAATATCTAATTTGCCCTGCTATCCAAATGTTTATGACTGAATTTTTTTTAGTCTAATGCATTCAGTTTCAAAATAATATGAGTGATCAGATTGCTTATTATTTTATTGCAGCAATAAATTTATGTTAAATAGTTTGAACAATTGTATAAAAATAAGAGTTTGCATTGTTTTGTCCAAAATATATGTATGGTTGAAACATTATCTTAATCTAGTTTGTAATTCAAGTTTTTTTGGGGGTACTGTTCTGTTATTGGGACCAGAATCGGAAATGTATGAACCTGTGTTCGTAAGTATGTGCATAGATGTGTATATGTAGACACACAAATATACAAGCATCATACATAAATACAATTCTGAACCCGGTCCTGATAACAGAACAGTACCTTTTTTTAATCTTTTTTGAATATTTTATAAAAGGATTAAGCATTTTTCAAACTGCATATCATTTTAAGATTCGACTTGCAGGAAGACAAAATATGGTCATTCAATCAAATGCTTATGATTGCTTTTTAACATTTTCTCATAAATATTGTTTGCATTTTTATTGTATTTTAGATACTTTAGTTATGTAAAGTGAACATGAGAATATTAGGAAAGCTGAAGAATATGAATAGCTACCATAATACATGTATTTTTTCATCGAGCCCATTGTTTTAGAAACCAATGCACCATTATTATATGCTGGCTTATTTTATAGTTATATGCAGTTTAATTTTATGTTCATGTTACTGTAGTATTGTCATTATAATAAAAGTATTGATAATTTTTGTTGAATCTTGC